CACAATATCACAATATCACAATTGCTTCAAGAATGATTAAAACATGTATTTGACGTAACACATTTGAGGTTATACTCAGTCAAAATCAGTGGCGTGCATAGGGAATAAAGAATTATTAAAAATATGTATAAGAAATGTATTGGCGTTTGAAGTTTGTAATTATGATATTTAGGTTATACTCAGTCAAAATCAGTGGCGTAGCATAGCAACAAAACTATTATTTATAATTAATGACCCACCGGTCATGCCGTCGTCAATGTGTTAATAGATAGGGCAATGACAGCTGTCAAAGCAAGGACTGGTCTTACTTAGCAATTGAGTCGCTGTACAACTACAAACAAATATATTAGGTAAAGTTCTGAATTAATATGATCCGAGTAATCAGAAATTAAAATAATAAAAAATACGTAATAAATATTTAATCAAAACAAACAAATAACATATAATGCTTACATATTGGTAACTAATGCAATGAAGTTAATAACATTTTCAAGGTGAATTTCATCTGCGTTTCTTATAAAATATATTTCCTTGAAATACAAACTACTATTTGGTTATTTAAATATTTCACGATTGTATTATTTATAGGCTTAATCACCTTAATTTATTTTTTGTAAATTTTAATGTTCAGTTGTTCACCACTTCCATCTAGAAGCGTAGCTGTTGTAGCCTTGGTTTTTCTACATGCCACCTTCTCATCCAATTAAGGTACTTCGACCTTAATTGGATGAGGAACTTTCACGTAAACAGGTACTTTAACTGGCACTTGGTGGGTGATTTTCACTGGGTATGGTTTTGGTATATGCACTGGGACCTTAACTTGGACTGGGACTGGGTACGGCTTTGGAATGTGGACTGGGTACGGTTGTGGTACTCCAACTTTAACTTCCTTGGTCACGGTGATTGGGTACGGTTGTGGAATGTGTACTGGAACTTCTTTGGTCACAGTTACAATCTTGTGTTGGACCACTTGATGACCTCCAAATTGACCAGCAGATACACCACCTTGAGATTGACCATAGGAACCACCGAAACTGCCTACGTTTTGTCCAAATTACTGTTGCACTTCACTGAAACCACCGGAGACTTGACCGAATCCACTGTCACCTCCTAAATTCCCAGAGCTTCCAAATCTACTGGATACACCACTACCTAAACCTCCAATGTGACCGGAGTGATGTCCTTCGTTTTGGTAACCACCATGATGGTAGTCGGTGGCCGCACAAATAGCGAAAGTTACGCACATAACCTAATCGATTATTATATTTTAATTAAAATATTACTAGAAATACACAATTGTGAATACAGGCGATGGTGAATGATGGCATTGTTTAACGAGAGTTGTCTTTTATAGTAATCCTATTGTCAAGTCAATAAAAGTTCAAGATCAGAGGTTTCATGTTAATATACAGAATCGTATAATTTCTATTCTAATAATTAATATTACCTAATATTATATTTGCATATTTAAGTGATATTACTCCATGCTGATGATGATGACCAAGACAAAAATATATGATAGAAATGAATTATTTTTTAGTTGGAAACAAATTCTAATAATGATATATTATATTTAATGATAAGTAAAAATGGAAAACAAATAAATATTCTATAAAAAGATTATTTATTTATTTTCACATTTATATTTCCATAAATTACTTAATAAACTTACATAATAAGTATATAGTCAATAGATCTTTGTAATTATGTAAGACCATATATGCTATAAATTATGTTTATCATTATTCAATAAGTAAAATAATTAAAATTTTGGGAGAGTATTTCTTCTCAGAATAAATATTTCACTTTCCAAAACTACTGTTATCACTATATATCAAAATACCAATAATTTATTTCCATTTCGTAATAAAGAACATCCTATAACTTAAAGCCAATTATATGTCACAGTTATAATATATATCCAAACATTATAAATTGTATAATACTTTTATTTATTAAATATTCTGCAAACACGTTTCATTTCTACAATTTAATTTTAGAAACTTTTATTTGATTCTTTCTTTCGATGATTGATTTTATTAATTTCCAGATTAAATGCAATTAGAGATTATGGATCAAAATTTCTAAACAAAAATAAACGGTAAGTTTAATTTATAACTTGACAATGAAATAAAAAAAACCTCGCGTCGAATAGTCTAGACTAAAAATAATTTGTTTTGTATCTCTTGTCGTTTTCTTTTCGGGATTTACGTTCAATAAACAATTGCGACTACGATAATTGCACTAAATGAAAGGACTATCAGTAAAAGAAGAAAAAAATGAAAGTTATATTTAAAGCAGTTTTGCCAGTAAATATTTGCTTAACATATTTAAGTATCATTAGAATAAGTCTCTTAGGTAATACTTATCGTCATTTTGGTGGTCATCCGGTAGAGTGAATGGACGGAATAACAACTTGAAAAAAACTAAGATAAAATATAATCAATTAGTTTTGAATAAAATATATTTCAATTTTAACATTATTTTGATTAATTCTCAATAAAACCAATACAGAATAGTTAAATACATAATAACAAACATATATTTAATTTGATAGATGAAAGTTTTGAATAAATAAGACCTAGATCAGTATTTCCCAACCATCTTTGTGCCATTGTCCAACTAAGCCTTTCTAAAATTATTATGCCCCCTGTTATGTTAAAAATAGAATTGTTCACTGAAGAGTAGCGCCTGAGACGTCCCATATGGTTAACTCTGGTCGAGTCCATCTTCGAATTGCCTCTTAAATCAATAAAAATAACCCTAGAGTGACGTGCGACCCACGTTCGAAAACACTGAACTCGATTATGAGTAATTAACATAGCTATATTATAATTTTGAGTAAAAAAAAATATTATTAATCTAAACAAACAAATCATAGATATTGATTAATAATTCGACAAAGTTATTTACAATTTCAAGGAGAATTTAATCCGCGTCTAAAATATATTTCCCTAAAGTAGTAGCACTTAAATATTTAATACAAATAATTATTACAAAATTAAATTAAATCATTATTCACACTTTATCCTATTACTATTAATTATATAATTACATTTACTTGATGTGATTGAAATAGAAATGAAAACATCAAACCACGAGTTAAAGTAATTTGCATAAAATATATGTAAATTAAAAAAAAAAGATGCAACATGGCTCTTTCCAAAATTACTTTACGCGCGATATTTCCACGTTTTAAATTATAAAATCCTTGTTAGCAATCAATCGTGTTTTTATTATTATATGCTTCCAGACAAACATTATGATAAATCAGTAAAATATACTTCGATGCGTTTTTACCGGTAAACACTCAATCTGCTTAAACCTAGCAACAACATCTTTTGCATAACATACATTGTTTTTCTTCTAATAATTTTTGTATATCTAATAAATCAAACATATTCTAACTCTCTCTTATAATTCCATCTCAAGGAGACAATATTTTTACCACAATAAAAATGGAAATATTTGAGCATCTATTTCTTTTCCATTAAAATTTAATTAATTTAAAATTCATCAAAGTGTCATCAAATATTAATTTTATTCTAATTTATAAATCTTAAAATCTGATAAATTATATTCCGTTTGTATATATTTTGAGATGATTTTATATAAGATTAACTTATGTCAATATAACATAGGTGGTAAAGAAGAATAATAAAATTAATTAATTTGCATAAGCACTTATTTTATGAAAGTATTATAAATCCGCGTCTCAAAATGACAGTTGTCACCTTGTGTTAAAGAGACCAATTAGATCGCTGTACAACTATAATCAACTATGATAATATTTTTTGTGTATTGTTATGGAAATAATATTAAATTAACTAAAAGAAAAATGAGATTTTATTAAAATCAGAATTATTTACATGTTTTTTTTTTGTAAGACAAAAAGTTTAATCGACAATTACCATTTGGTGCTGGGTACGCTGAAACCTTCGGATGAGGATTGTGATTGTTCAAAACCGCCCCTAATGTTGATGAGTCCTGCACCGGATTTGGAGCTTGTATCGAAAGATTGAGACTCAAAGTTGGCGCTGTTATCGAAAGATCCGGATTGAAGACCGTGAGAAGCAGAGAAACCAGAAGAAATAGGTTCTTGGTATTGAGTGTTGATGACTGCTGGCCCTTGGAAATTACTGTTGATTGAAGATACGGCTGGTGCGTAGTTGGTGTTGATTGAAGATACATCTGGGGCGTAGTTGGTTTGGATTTGATGGGTGTGAGTGTGGATTCTCACTGGGACTTTGACGTAGACTGGAGTTGGTACTTTGACTGGAACGTGCTTGACCACTTCGACTGGGTACGGTTTCGGTACTGGTACTTCAACCCTGACTGGATGAGGGACTTTCACGTAAACTGGAACCCTGACTGGTACTTGCTGTGTGATTTTCACTGGGTACGGTTTTGGCACGTGCACCGGAACCGCCACACGAATAGGAACTGGGTACGGCTTTGGAATATGAACTGGGTAAGGTTGTGGTACTCCAACTTTAACTTGCTTGGTCACGGTGACTGGGTACGGTTGTGGGATGTGAACTGGAACTTCTTTGACCACAGTTATGACCTTCTTCTCTTGGGTTTGATGTCCGCCGAACGCAATTTGAGAACCAAATCCTTGTGCATGAGCGCCACCAAAACTGACTTGACCTAATTGAGCGATGGCTGCACCATGTCCTAAATCTACTCCATGACCTTGAATTGCTGCAGAGTTAAATCCCCCATCAAATCCTCCTCCATGTCCAAACTGTTCATGCACTGATCCGTGGGAGATGTGACCGATTCCTTCAATATGATGCTGACCATGACCGTGATGGTAGTTACCGGCCGCACAAAAAGCAAATGTTGCACACAAAACCTGGATAGTAAAAAAATATATTATTACAATAATTACAACAAATTCAAATATTTAGTTATTGTTTTACCAAGAAGGTTCTCATCTTGTAGCGGAAGGAATTCGAGTGATGCTGTTGCCTGAAATTTACTCTCTTTTATACTAATTCGATTTCCAAATAAACGGATTAAATGATCTTACAAAATGTATATTTTCATATTATGTAATTTTATTATATCACATTACCACACTCTACATACAAGATGCTCCATCTTCAATCTTCTTGATATACGTAAAAATTAGTAATGATCAAACCCATGTGTTCATTAATTTAATGATTGAATAAATTAACATTTATAATTTGTATACATTATTTGAAGCAAATACAAAAATATATAATTGATGTGCAATTAATATTTCAATTGTACTAGACTTATGATTCAATTATACTTTTATTATGTTTATTTATTTACTATTGTGTATTGTCTTTATACATTCATTATGGTTCATTATTTGATCATAATCATAATAAATGTTTTTTCTTAATGTAAGTCAATCAATAAAATTTAGAGAAAAATATAGAAATTCTTAAGTAATTTTTATTCCGAAGTTTCATCATAGATGCTATCACAGTCTGCGACGCAATCGAAGGAGATGAGCCTAGATATAAAATTTAATGCAAAAGAAAAATAAACATTAAAAAAATAAAATTGATGTAATATGGTTTTTAGAAGTTTTTGAAAAAATGTTAAATATAATTATATACAAAAAAAAACCATAAGAAAATATAAATAAATAAAACAAAATAATATAAATACAAATATAGATTCTGAGAAGAAAAAATACAATTTAAGAATTTTAGTAATAAAAATATCTTATATGAAAATGAATAAAAATATCATAAGTTTATAAGAAAAGAATGCGCAAAAATATCTCGGTCGATCTGGTAAATGTTTGACCAATAAATATATTAAATTAAAAAATAAAAGAAGAAAATCTAACCAAATGGTCGACATTAGTCTTTCCGCCCATAATGATTATTATTTTAATGTTAAAACACAATAAATTATAATTATACGATAATTAAAATTCACAAAAATGCAGCAGCAGCTACTAGTGAGAAAAGAGGAATTTATTAAATATACAAAGTCAGTACATGTTCTAAATTTGTAGTGTTATTAGCACATAGAGACTTGAATTTATTTAAATTAAATAAGAAATGACAAAACTATTGCTATATAAAACATTGATGATTTCACCTGCAAATATCCTTACATACGCTATTAATATATTCATTATTGCATAAATAATGTATAGTAAATGCAGATATAAACTTGATATCATTTTGTTACACAATAGATAACATTATGTATTATGCAATTACAATTTAGAACTAAATATAAATTGCAAATATATATTTGCATTTCGTATATTTATTTATAACTAATTTGCTGTTAAATGGCTAAATGCATTAACAGGAAATATGAAGAAATTATGTTTCACTGCATATTTTAGAATGCAGTTTTTTTTTAAATTATATTTACTAACGTGTATATTCGTTGTTTTAGACATTTGTATTTCCAGAAAGTAAAAAAATCAAAACAAAAATATGGAGAACTTGCTGTAAGAAAACGTATGTGTAAAAGTTTGGTGATACATGTCTACGTGTCGAATCAAACGACATGTGAATAAACTTTCAAAATGCACCTTGGAATGATTTTTCTAAGAAAAATGTTCTGGTAGCTTTTAGTGTTGAAATGTCTGAAAGCATGCCAAAATTTATCAAACAAAACGGTTCATAAAACATGAATAAAATTCTCAAGGATTGATAAAAATCATCATAAAGACATTATTGTAAATAAATATTTATAGAAAAATTCTAAGAATATTCTCATTCATCATGTATGCATGTTTATAATGCTTTGCTAGAAAAACTCCGTGATTTAATGATATTATATAATTATTGAGTAAAATGTTGATGTATCTAAAATCTTCTGACCACCTGTTGTTCCGGGTACCAAAATTGAATATATAATTTGTATAAATTATAATTTATTTGGTTACAAGAAAATTTATATAATTCATTAATACCAGTTATATCAGATTTCTGCGACTATCAAAATATTATTGAAATAAATATTTATGTTAAACAAAAAAAACAAACAATTAACTTATTAAAATAATAACAATATCTCGCATAGTCCAGTTTCTCTTTATACAGTCAAGTATTATTTTTGTGCAGTTTATTTTTTATATGTATCTAGTTCTTCGATTAGTTCTTAGATTAGTATTTCTGTATTTATTGCAACAATTATATAATTACAAAAAATATTGTAAATATATTACAGCGAAATAAAATGACACGAATAATTGCAATGGTCGTTACGTAAATATTATAAAAAAAATATAATCGATTAATCAAAAAATGTATTAAATAATCTTACAATTTATTCTAATATATTTATTGGTCAAATATTCACCAATATTATAAAAAATTGAGGTGAAAAGACCTCATTCAACCGCATTATTTTATAATATTTTCCGTTTAACGTGGAATTAATTTTTAAATATTATTTGTAAATATTAAAGTTTAAGCATTTTCAAGGTGTTTGTAAAGTAGCACACCTTAAATCACATAATTTTAAATTATTTGAATGTTTCTTTTACAGTCAAGTAGTTTAAAGCTTTAGAGTTACACCACTCCAAATTTTCATGAATCGGCTTGATGACTACGTGTGTAAACTGAAATTGATACATTGACTGGAACGTTCTTTACCACTTGGATTAGGTACGGCCTTTCCATTGGAACTATAAATGATATTAAATGATACATCTGTTATGTTAAAAGTATTTCCACAATTAGTACAATATATGTTAGTTATCACAATTAAGTCAAAACAAAAATATTGTTTTATATTATTAAATGCTAATTTATAATAATAACAAAAAAATCATTGATCGAAATATGGTTCAAATATCAAATTATATCATATCCATTCAAGATTACAAATATAAACTCTATAATATAAAAATTATAACAAATAATTAAAATCTATTTATTAGATAAAAGTCAAATCTAGAAATACATGAATCAGTTTAATATATACAATGTTAATGAGCGTGAATCATCTTAATATTTTCTTCTATCGCTGAAATAATTATATTATTATTTATGATACATATATATTACTTTTTTAAGGCTGTTTTTGATTCTCCATATTCTTTATTTTTTATGATTATATAAGATAATTTCAATTTATATATGGCGAAAACACTGCGGTCTCTTATGTTGTTTTAAAATATATTTCGTTCATTATTAATTACCAAATACTGTTTTTTTTAAAACATCTGTGATTACAAAATAGCCCATGGGAAAAAGAAATATCACAAAACGTAGATCTCGTTTAGAAAACGACAATATGTATATCTCTTACCTAATAATGATTTACATATTATAATATTTTAGACGAATGCGATGTGTTTTATATTATACAGTATGCATATATTCACAACCAGTGTATCATCTGCAAATTTCTTTGATGTTTTACGCTCCAACCAAAACATTATTTTATTAAGCTCAGTTTATAATAATAATTATTACAATTGCTATGGGGAATATAAAAAATAAATAAAATTAAGACAAAAAATATAATAGATCTTTACATCAACTCGATGTATTTTTATATTAAATAATTGTAAGCTGACATATTGCTATTATTGTATTATTTGTTATATTTGAATATTATCAATCATTTGCTTTTTTTTTTATTTTAAAACTTAAGACAGAATGGTGATGAAATAAAAATAAGATATGCATTTTGACCAAAAACTGTATTCAAGAGATTAACAATAGCATCTTCAGTACTCTCGAAGCACCTTGTAAAAAAAAAGAATATAAAATAAACAAACATATATAAATATGTTAATTTTAATTAAATTTATTAGATTGTATATATTAAATCATCTAAACTATGTATTATTGTATCACATAAATCAATCACTATGTATTATTGTATCAGGCAAATGTTTTAAATTATTTTTAAGAATGCATTTTTTTTATATGATTTATTGTGACAATTTATGTTTGTTTGTGTCTGGGCAGAAAGACTTAGGTCGATAGCCCTTTTGTTACAATGTAACTAATAAATATTATTATTATTGTTTTAAATTATTTAGAATCAAAAGTAAAATACAAAAATGTAGATTTTATTAAAATCAAATTATTTACATAGATTTTGTGTATTACAAAAACAAAAATTAAACCAAAACTGAAAATGACTTTGTACAGTTAAGTGATTTACAAGTTAGAATCATGATTGCCATCGTCGTATTCGGAGTGCTCAAATCCACCTCTGATGTCAATGAGCCCTTCGCCGGATTGAGCGCTGGTATGAATTGACTGAGAGTCAGCATTAGCCCTGGATTGGTAAGTTTCGGAATTCAGTCCTGAGGAGAATCCAGAAGAGATTGATCCTTGGTATTGGGTATTGATAGCTGATGGTGCTTGGTAATTGGTGTTGATTGAAGATACAGCTGGTGAGTAGTTTGTGTTAACTGAAGATACTGCCGATGGAGCGTAGTTTGTGTTAACTGAAGATACTGCCGATGGAGCGTAGTTGGTTTGAATTTGATGTGTGTGAGTGTGAATTGGAACTGCAACTTTAACGTAAACTGGAGTTGGCACCTCAACAGGAACGTGTTTGATCACTTGAACCGGGTATGGTTTTTCCACTGGAACTTCAACTCTCACTGGATGTGGTACCCTTATGTAAACTGGAACCTTGACTGGGACTTGCTGGATAATTTTTACTGGATACGGTTTAGCTACATGCACTGGAACATGAACTTTTACTGGAACTGGGTATGGTTTTGGAATATGAACTGGGTAAGGTTGTGGTACTCCAACTTGGACATTTTTTGTCACGGTAACTGGGTACGGTTGCGGAATGTGAACCGGTACTTCGTTGACGACAGTCACAATCTTCTTCTCGGTAGTTTGGTGAGCACCAAATTGGTGATTTCCAAAAGAAACTTGAGTACCTAAACCGGCACCAGTTGATTGTCCAGCTTGAGAATGAAGTCCACCGAAACCGGCTTGTCCCAATTGTGCTTGAATACCAGCAACAGCGGCGCCATGGACTTGTCCTAATTGCGCTCCATGCTCCAACTGTACACCGTGACCATTGTTTGCACCATTATTTAATCCACCTCCAAAGTGTCCTCCTTGAACGTAATGTTCCTGCAATGATCCTCCAGAGACATGACCAATTCCTCCAGATTGGTAAAGAGCACCACCATGGTGGTAGTTACTGGCCGTACTTAAGGCAAGAGTAGCGCACAAAACCTATATTTATACAAATTTTATTTATTATTTAATAATTAATTTTAAAAATAATGTTAATTACCAAAAAAGTCCGCATAGTGTGTTTGAGGATGCTCAAATGATGCTCTGTCCAATGTTTTGGTTTCTTTTATACATACTGATTACAAAATGGACCATGGGAAAATATGAATATCACAAAAAGCAAATCGCGGTTTTATGAAGATCGTTTTTATATAATCTATTACCTAAGAAGGATTTGCATATTACAAAATTATACACCAAGACGGTGTGTTTTATATTTGATATTACACAATACATGTATAAATCTACTATAATCAACTTTGTTATTTATGCAATCCAATCAATATATTATGTTATTGGAGCTTGATTGTGAATGAACGCAAATATATTATTTTTATTAATTAATATAACGATAAAATAATTATGTATAATATAAACACTTAATTTTCTGCCTTCATAAAAAACCATACCATAAAGACATCTATGCAGCATATTTTATTTTTTGAAAGTGAAAGTTTTAATAAAATTAAAAAGGAAAAAAACAAATTCAACAACCATCAGATAAATCTTTTGTTTTTTTAATAATTATATTATGAATAGAGAATGGTGAAAAGAAAACGGGCCAGTTTGCTTTTCATTGCATTCACGGTATAATTCAATAGTAAATAAGCAAGCAAATTCAGTAGTAAAGATCATTTACCAAGACCTAGAAACAGATAAAGGTTGGCTAAAAGTAACATGAAATAAAAATCAATTACAGACTACCCTATTGAGATTACACCGACAACATCTTCATCATTAGCGGAAAGATTTCACCAAGTAAGTGTAAATAAAGCTTGCGAAAAGCAGAAAACCTTATATATATATTTGAAGTAAACAACGATCATGCCATATTAAAGCATTCAGTTTGAATATCAGCATGGAATGTAAACGAACTTAATCACCACTATCATGAAATAAGTATGTTCCTTAAAAAATCATAAAATTTATATTTTGCTTATTTCAGAGACTTTGCCAATGCAAATTGAAACTCTCGAAAGTGCAATGTATGACACCAATTTAAGTTATGTACTATCTTCACAAACACGATTGAAGGAAAACTAATTATTACGATACAACTGGATTTTGTTTTATTGCAGATAGGGACTACAATGCAAAACGTCTAACTACAAACAAATGAACAAATATCATTTTAGAAGAACTTTTAAACTACTGCTCAACGAAAAATACAAGAAAGTTGAACTAATATGCCCAAAGGAAATTATATCATATATAAGTAGTCAAATAAAAGCAAAAAAGACGCCAGGCTATGATTTAATAAGAGGAAACTATATTAGAAGAAATTGTATTGATGACCCAAATATTAAGTACTATACTACTTACAGACCACTTTGCAATGCAGTAAAAAGATGCAAAAGTTATATTATTAACAAGAAGTTTTTTTTATTCTAAAAACTTTTTGTTAACCAATTGCATCCTATAATAACGTCAAATAAACTAAGACCAGACCATGGATTTTTGTTGCAAACACGCTATAATTCAATAACCATATACCAAGACCTAGAAAGATATAAAGTTGGCTGCCTTTTTAGACGTATAATAAGCATTCGACAAAGTCTAGTATACACAATAATACATAACTTTATTATAAAATAATAAAATCGTACCTAGAAAACAAAATAGATTGTAAATAAACATATTACGACATAAAAATGATAAGTTTATTTCATTACCATAACAACCTACGAATTGAGAGTAACTTGACAAATGTTCAGAAAATATGAGATATTACCAAATTTGTTAGTTAACTTTTTATTTTCAAATGTTACAAGTAAATGAAATTTCTGGATTTCCTATATTTTTCCTTATTACGATAACTTTCTGAATGTATATAAAGCTAATAGAGTGTATTTAATTTAGGCAATATCTAACTATTTATTCAATTATGAGTTTTCGCTTAATATCAATATTTTTACTATATGTTTTTTATTATAATTATTAAATGTAATTATTAAAAAAATGTAATTACTTGCAAGATTTATCAATATCTATATACAATAAGTATATTTCCACTAATAATTACAGCGAAACCTCACATGTTTTGGTTAATCAGTTCCGGCAATATCCCGGAATGTTTGAAACCAGACTAAAAAATCAATATAATTAATGCTATTTCTATTTATCTATTAATTTATTAGAAGTCTATGCATTACTATGATTCATGTATTTTTAGTTGTGATTATTTGTTTAATTATCTACATTGCAAATATTATATTACAACTTCTTGTAAAATTTATGAATTCAACTAATATAATATTCTCTCAATATTGTATAGAAACAAAAGATATTTTAAACTGAATCTAAACAAAAATGTAGTTAAAAGACATTGAATAGGTTTAATTTTACTAATAATTTCTGAAGCATTTTGAAAATTAGATTATATGATGTATACAGTATTAATTATAAAAGCAGTATGTAGTAAAATCATATTCAATATTCTTAATGAGGTTCCAAAGAATAGGTTTTAAATTATGTAAAAGCATAAGTAAAATACAAAAATGTAGATTTTATTAAAATCAAATTATTTACATAGATTTTGTGCACCACAAAAACAAACATTAAAACGAAACTGAAAATTATTTAAAAATTAGAATCATGACTGCCATCGTCGTATTCGGAGTGTTCAAATCCACCTCTAATGTCAATGAGCCCTTCGCCGGATTTAGCGTTGGAATGAATTGCTTGAGAGTTATCATTGGACTGGTAAGATTCAGAATTCAGTCCGGAGGAGAATCCAGAAGAGATTGGCCCTTGGTATTGGGTATTGGCAGCTGCTTGAGCTTGGTAATTGGTGTTGATTGAAGATACAGCTGGTACGTAGTTGGTGTTGATTGAAGATACAGCTGGAGCGTAGTTTGTGTTAACTGAAGATACTGCCGATGGAGCGTAGTTGGTTTGAACTTGATGGGTGTGAGTGTGAATTGGAACTGCTACTTTAACGTAAACTGGAGTTGGGACCTCAACAGGAACGTGCTTGATCACTTGAACCGGGTATGGTTTTTCCACTGGAACTTCAACTCTCACTGGATGTGGTACCCTTATGTAAACTGGAACCTTGACTGGGACTTGCTGGATAATTTTTACTGGGTACGGTTTAGCTACATGCACTGGAACATGAACTTTTACTGAAACTGGGTATGGTTTTGGAATATGAACTGGGTAAGGTTGTGGTACTCCAACTTGGACATTTTTCGTCACAGTAACTGGGTACGGTTGTGGAATGTGAACCAGTACTTCATTGACGATAGTCACAACCTTCTTCTCGGTAGTTTGGTGAGCACCAACATGGTGATTTTCAAAAGAAACTTGAGTACCTAAACCGGCACCAATTGATTGTCCAGCTTGTGAATGTAGTCCACCAAAACCGACTTGTCCCAATTGTGCTTGAATACCAGCAACAGCGGCGCCATGGACTTGTCCTAATTGCGCTTCATGCTCCAACTGTACACCATGACCATTGATTGCACCATTATTTAATCCACCTCCAAAGTGTCCTCCTTGAACGTACTGCTGCTGCAATGATCCTCCAGATACATGACCAATTCCTCCAGATTGGTAATGAGCACCACCATGGTGGTAGTTACTGGCCGTACATAAGGCAAAAATAGCGCACAAAACCTATAATTAAACAAATTTTATTTATTAATTAATAATTAAATTTAAAAATAATATTAATTACCAAAAAAGTCCGCATCGTGTGATCAAAGATGCTCGAATGGTGCTGTGTCTAATGTGTTGGCCTCTTTTATTCTTAATTGATTACAAAACATAAGATCACATAATATAAACAAAAAGTCACAAAACATAAATTTTTGTTAAAATCTTACCTAACCAAAATTTACATATTATGTAAGTTTTCATCTTCACCATGTGTTTATTTTGAATATTATACAATACACATAATGCAAATGCTATAAGCATCTGATAATTTTATTATTCACGATGTTTCTCTGAACCATTTAGAACTATTCTCAATTTGAATTAGGTAAGTAATTACACTTTGATTAAATATTATTTATTTATTTACAAAATTTATTTTTTTTTATTTTGTCCAAATTCCTATCGACCACACTCAGTATGCCTATTTTCATTTATTTTGATTACAAAAATAGTGTAGATTTATAATATATATTAATATATAAGCAGAAATATCAACAGTCAATAACCCGATGCAATGGTTCAAAAATAATTTTGCTTTTGATTTATTTTACTGATATTATTACAATATACATATTAGTAATAATATTAATAATCTATTAAAATAATTATAAAATTAAATATGTATACACATGAATAGGAGCAAAAAAAAATAGAAAATATTTTAGCATAACAAAATTTCAATCAATAAATACAAATTTTAAACCACAAATGAAGACGCATCAATATTTTATTAGGTAATTTGGTTGGCACAGATATATGGACCTTTTGACCTAACACACAAAAATCGAAATTAGACTTTCTCTTCTTCCATTGACCATAAATATATGAATTAATAGAGACAAATGTACATATCAACAAAATAATAAATAACGAACAAATGTAGGATAAAATATATTAATAAGATTAAAGACTTAAATGTGAACGACTTACTTTGAATTTGATATTTGATTATTCTACACTGAGAACCAAACATAATTTAATAGTTTATTACAACTAAAACGCTTTTAGTATGTTCGATTTTTCGAGAAAATAATTTTCTTATAATAAATAAAAATTTGCAGCATAAATTTAGTTTCACAAGTAATTTTAATTGAATTCTCATTTTTAAATAATAGTCTTTATTGCAGCATTCAAAAATAAATATTTTCATTCACAACAATAATAACAACTATAGGGATCTGTTTGTAATACAAGTGTTGACATCATACAACGGTTATATATATTTTTAATTTTTCTAGAGCTGTTTTTAATTTTTCTTTTTTATTTTAGATAAATTGTGATATAAATAATAATAAAAAAAAAACAACAATAATAAAACGGAAAAAGATTATCTACTTAAAATAAATTCAATTTACAAAATGTCTTGGTTCTTTCGACCAAACGGCTATTAACCAAAATATGCTCGTGAAATTATATTATATAGTGTATAGTATCGTTGATTTTGTGTAGTTGTAAACCATCTATGGATAAACTCAGGTTCGCCATCTTAGCAAAGATAGTCAAATTTGTGAATGGGCAGAAGAGCTCATCCAACTCGTGCAGTTAAGCGTTTTATTTTATTTAGTTTGGTTAGTTGGTAGTTTTAGTATTTATTCCGCTCAGTGTTATATTTTGTTACAGTTTCAAAACTATTTACTCTTTGCCAGTTTGTAAATAATAAATTTATAAAAAAATTTATTATAATTAAATGTAATTCACTATTCTTTATTTTCATTAATTGGAAGTTCAAATAAATTTGAGTCATTTTTACAGACTTTTTAATTTGTAAATAGTTTTTAATAAAATATATATGACAGCGGTTCCCAAACTTATAATCATTGTGACCCAATTCTCAAAATCTGATCTTGTCGCGACCCCCCAAAAATAGATTCCAAACAGTTTGAGATGCGCTGATCTACGGTATTCTACTGTTTTTTTTACAAACCTGTTTGGTCATATTATTGTACATATTTTTTTTTACTTTTTTATGTATACTTTTTGAAGATAATAGTAGGTATGAAATAAAAGGCACTTTTACCGTTAAATAAATGTATTTATAATAAAACATCTTTATAAAATTGGTATTTACCATTTACCTCCGTAGCCACCTCCATAGCCACCACCGTATCCGCCTCCATATCCGCCTCCATAACCGCCTCCGTAACCACCTCCGTATCCACCTCCGTATCCGCCTCCATATCCACCTCCCAAACCACCGTATCCTCCTCCGACAGTGGTATGAGAATGAGTGTGAACCGGCACAACGACTGGGGTTGGGACTGCGATCTTCTTAACAATTGGTACTGGGACCTCAACTGGGACAGGGACTGGTACTGGCTTGGCTACAGTGATCGATACAATTCCACCTCCGATACCACCTCCGTAGCCACCCCCGATGCCACCTCCGTAGCCACCCCCGATGCCACCTCCATAGCCACCCCCGATGCCACCTCCTAAACCACCTCCGAAGCCACCTCCTAAACCACCTCCGAATCCACCTCCGTAGCCTCCTTCGTATCCACCTCCTCCGTAACCTCCTCCGATACCACCAAATCCGCCATGGATAATTGACCTCTTTCCTTTAACTTTGGTCTCGCCACAGCTGATGCCGCTGACGCAAAGGGCAGCCAGTACACACTGAAAAATTGAAATACGCAATTTAAAAAAAATACAAACAATAACTTTTTACAACACTTACAACGAAGGCTTTCATTCTAGCTTTGAAGATGAAATGTGAATGATGCTGTTCACCAATTCCCCCGATGCTTTTATACAAAAAACGGCATTGAAGGTGAATTTTATGGGCAGCATGTGCAAAAAAGGATGTCGATTTCACTCATCATTTGCTGCTACACAAAATTTGCATGCATATAGATAGCTACATTTTTTTTGCATCAAATTTCGCAATAATTATCGAAAATTATAAACAAATTCTGGATTTTGTTAATTATTCAAGTATAAATTAAAAGATTCAATTTACATATTTATGCCAAAAAAATATCCACATCAGTCGTTATTTTTAGATCCGCACATGAAAAAAATATAATTGAATTAGTGATATAGTATCAATCAATCAATTAGTGCATTACATAAATGCATTGACATTTTGAAAATGATCTCAGCACCAAAGTTTAGAAGTCCAAGGCCATCACTGTAACTCACCTATTTTATAAAATTATTAACTAAACATATGACCTTTTATAACAAGCTTAAAAGCTATGTGGATCAAAAGTTCTCCATTTTTATACGATTTTATCCATGTAGCAATTTATAATATAGTCATTTCGTCGTTTTTATTCGACTATTAGTCAGCTGATCAAACTTGTAGCTCGATCAATCATTATAATTTCAAAAAAATAAATATTCATTTGCGCAATGCAAAATTTATATATTAAATTATACAAAATATTGATCATTATTTTTGTAGACACTTACAATTATTATTTTTTTGCAGTTGTAATTGCAAACATCGTTTCATATACTGTATAACATTTAATAAAAATGCCATTTATTCAAAAAAGGGCAATTTGTGAGATGACATACACAAGAAAAATGCACATATTTCTACAAAACGAAAACTATTTGGAAACTTTCTATTATAAATTTAATTCGTATAAATTAGTTTTGAAATAAATTATTATAAATTTAGACACATAAAAATAAATAAATACAAAATATCTATTCGAAAAGTATACATCTGTTTTTGGTTAAACTGCTAAAATCATATTACCAATAAGCGTGTAATAAAATATTGCATTTTTTTAAGAGATTTACATCTATTATTATCGATATAAATCACTTATTTCTATTTCTGCCACCCTTTTGGTACTTATCGGCCCGCACAATTTTTCTTGTTGGTGAGATTCGAACTGTCAACTTTTGTATCGGATTTTGTAATACAGGCATATTATCTTTTGTAAATAACGAAATATTTCTATAGATGTCAGCTGAATTAATAATAAATAATTATTTTTGATATAGTCATTACCAAAACAAAATTATATTTGTAACATATGAATATTAATTAAACTTATTCTGATGTAGATGTACCAGCAAATTGCAATGTTTGAATAATATTTAAGTTTAGTTTTATGTGTAGGGTAATTTAATAATAAATATATATATATATTAATAGGCTGGCCAAAGGGCTAAGACCTCGGTATCTTTCCGCCCGGGAACATAAACTTTATTATGAAATAATATCAGTATTATAATAATAATATACAATGAACAACAGAAGAATAAGGGGAAAAAATATATATAGAGTTGTAGTTTCTTTTTTAATAATCGAAGGATGAAGGGTGGAAGGGAGTAGTTGTAAGGTGTTATTTTGATTTTGGGGGAGTTCTGAATAACCGTGGAGGACATAATAGTAAATATAATGTTTATTATATTTTTTTTATACAAAACCATTATTATTATTTCTGTTTTCTTATTAAAAACTTATTTTATATAATATATTGAATAAGAACATATTGAATTCATAATTTCAAACTGCAGATGCTAATTATCCTCTTTACTTTTTTATACATTTCTTTAATTTGAGTCAATTTATATACTAAGTTTATAATTTAGCTATATTATGACTTATATTGAGAACAGGTTATAGTTAATATTGATTTTCTTTATTTTTTAAGCACAAGATACTTTACATAGACCGATTTCGAGCAGTCCGGTTTCAAAAATATATTCATAAATGATTTTTATTTACCTTTATACATGAAGTTTCTTTCGTGCTGTTGCTGTATTTATTGCAAACTCATGTTAACTTTAAAACTCATATTTTACTTTCATTCATAGCTATTAAGTTTTCTTAAACTAAATAGATGTTATATTCAGCTTATGCAAATCAGATTTTTTTCCTAGCAATCGGCACCCATCAAATAGAAAGCGTAGAAAACATGTGTCATCTGCATACATTCCAATTCTACATTTGCCATTCAAATCCAACTCATTCAATTCAATTCGATCGATCGGGGAACGATGAAAATAAAGTATTGATATATGCATTTATGCGAAAACAATAATTAAATCTATACTAATTTACTTCTCCATAGAAAAGTTCTTAAAAAAGATAATATTAACGCGGAAACATTCAACTCCACATGAACCAATTGAAATAATAAAAATAAGATATCAATGTTTGTTAGAAATATTTACAAAATATGGATTTCCAGTCTTCGAATATAAAACTATTTGAAAGCGACACGATAAAGAAAACTAGCAACTTATTTAATATAACTTTAAAAACGTTTACTTTAACTTAATGCAGCTGTTAATAATTAAAAACAATTATTATTAAAAATTGGTTTATTCAATTAAAAAGTATGTACAATATATATCGTTCTATCTACAGATTTACCATTTCCATCCAGATGCGTAACTGTTGTAGCCCTGGTTTTGGTACATACCTCCTTGTTTACTAGGAATGTATCCGTTGAAAGTGCCGGAAGTTTGATAAGAGGTTTGGAAATTTTGCATGTTCAATCCATGTTCGGCTTTGGCGTAAGATCCAGCGAAACCCGAAGATTGAACCTCAAATCCAGCTTGATAATTGGCGTTGATTTGTGGAACTTGGAAATTACTGGATACTGGAGCGTGGTAATTGGTTTGAGTTTGGATTTCGTGGGAGTGAGTGTGGATTGGTACTGGGACTTTAACGTAGACTGGAGTCGGTACCTTGACTTGCACGTGCTTAACTACTTCCACTGGATATGGTCTTGGTACTGGTACTTCTACTTTGACTGGATGTGGTACATTTACGTAGACTGGGATCCTTACTGGTACTTGATGGATGATTTTGATTGGGTACGGTTTTGGCACATGCACTGGGACTTTTACTTGAACTGGGACTGGGTACGGCTTTGGAATGTGAACTGGGTATGGTTGTGGTACTCCAACTTTAACTTGTTTTGTGACTGTGATTGGGTAAGGTTGTGGAATACGCACTGGAACTTCTTTCGTGACAGTGACTACTTGGTCCTGGACGATTTCATGTCCTCCATTTTGACGGTTCTTAAAGTCGATTTGGGTGTAGAGACCGTTGGGTCTACGAATTGCCTCAGATAGAACAATACCAACTCCATGAGATTGAATGGAACCATCACTTCCCAATGAATCTGCGTAGGTTTGGGCAGACTGTCCATGGTTTCCTACGAATCTAAAACCACCTTGGTGGTATTGTCCAAAGTTTTGTTGTTGCAATATGCCGCTTGAGAAGATATTTCCAGATTGGTAACCACCATCATGGTAGTTACCAGCTGAGCATAGCGCAAAGGCAGCGCACAAAATCTAAACAAAATTTATTAAAAATTAGCGAAACACAAAAGAAAATTAATAAAATACTATTTTCTTATATATGTATGCAACATTAATATTGAAAATGAGACCATACCAAAAAAGTCCTCATCTCGATTAAAATGAATACGTGAATGGTACAGACCACAAAAGTAAGTTGTCTTTTATACAAAGTGTATTACAAAATAGGCCAAGTGAACGAGCCCACGAAAAAATATAAATCTTTGCGTACCCGGCATTGCATAACCATATTTAAAGAGAATTTCGCAACGAAAATATATTCAAACTTCCAAGAAATAAAAACAATATTTTTAATCTACATTTTTAGCACGATATTGAACGACATGTTTATGGAATCATCGCAAATTAATTTTGAACCGTATTGCATAACGACAGGTGTGTATGCGGTGTTTAACGGACTTTCTTTTAGTGAATCAGATTAACATCCCGATCCTCCCAATCGGACATTCGCTTTTTTTAGCCGAATAATATCGAAGTATAATTATTATTAATAATTATCTAATTCTGAATCTCGCATTATTGATTACGAAATCTATAATGGTTTCAATCATCTCCAATTCCTACCAACTATTGCATTACTCTTTTATATTAGATTGTATATTCAATGGGAATAATTTAGCAGTTTTTATCATCCTTGTTCAAAATACATAAAGAATACTGTTGTTATTCGCCACTCCTTTTGCTATTTTTTATTGTTCGAAACATGCATTTAAAATATAAAATAAATGTATACTTTCCATGGTAAAGATGATATGCGTACTTGTTTTTGTGAGAGCAAAATTATGTATTTGAGTCTGATTTTTTTTTATATCAATGAAAGTAATACATTACTAAATATTCTTACAAGAAATATTTGATAACATTTCTTCGAACTTTTAAAACGAAATACAACGTGTAAAAACGGTCATTACCCCGCCTTACAACAATATAAACATCTCTTAAACAGAATAAATTAAATTGTTTATTTGACTATTCCACTGAACTTTTACTTTATATTATGTTTATACCATACATACCAAAAAAATAGTGGATCTTTGCGTGGGTTTTTTTTTGTTTCGTATATAATATTCAAGGTGAAGTGTATATTTCACACGTGCTCGCTCATCCTTCGTATTTTGCGACTCTATTTATCGTATTTATAGTAGTGTTACTTCGATCGTAAACTAATAACATAGAGTAAGAATGTGAAATCGTTCAATTTATATATATAAAAACGTTCATTTTATTGCTTTCTGCCGTTGATAATTCAATCAAGGAACGTGAATACTTTAAGTTTTACGATTGTTCTACAATATTGAATCTTTCTTAATTCTGCTATAATTATTCATTAGTCTACTATTAATTTATTTTAATATCAGCAATAGAAAATCAAATAGAAGAATGTACTTTTATAATAAAATAGTATTATTTTCTACCAGTTGAATCAACAAATGTGAGTTTATTCTATTTTTCTCTCCCAGAAATACGAAAACATAATTAATTAATTTATATCGCTTAAACACCAATAAGTTTTCCTTTTCTATTAGCCATCCAACAGATACAGATTTGCAACATATAAAATGTAATGAAGTAGATAAGTGGTATCCAACCTTCAAATTTTTCGGCGCCCAAAGTCAAAACATTGGTCTATCTCAGGGCAAACTTTATGTTAATAGTAGTTTTTCTTCAATTTTCGCTGCGCCCCTATAGCACCCCTGCTATAACCAATTTATAATTAAATAATTTTAGGCAAGTCACCAGTGCCGAAACAAGTGTCCAACCTTTATTATAAATCACTCAGTTGGATTCCCATAGGAGCGCTTAATCATCAAGTTGTTAATGAAGGCCAATTCACACCCCATAATAAAAATAATAATAAACTTGTTACAGAAAGAACCACCATTGTACCACACACCCTTACCCGAAGTACACCTAGCACTGTGACTACACAATGATAACACCAGACAATATTCCCCTGTGTGAGACACGGCATAGTTTTGCTTGAAAGGATTTTGATATTTAATTACAAAATGTAAATATTCAAATAATTCAAATATGAACAATCACATCTTTTTACCAGTTACCTTTTTATGGGTCGTAAAAAATGCACGTGAAAAATTATAGTATAATATTGGTAATATTGCGTCACATATTACATCAATTTTGTTTCAGTATCTTAAAATCTCTATGTCACGCACATCCATACTTATATAAATAATATAAGTATTAGTGCAATTGATGCTTCAGGTGTGTTCAATATTGTAGACATGGGTGTGAAAGTGAAAGAACAGCAAGTGTAGAACAAAAATGGGTAATTTATTTAATGACTAATTTGTGAAATTTATATATGTACAAAAAATGTGGATGCATAATTCATGTCGGATGGTTTACCACTTCCATCCTGAGGCGTAACTGTTGTAACCGGAGGCGATGCCACCGTGAGAACTGGAGACGTAACCGGAACCGTGATATCCACCGTATCCACCACCGATTCCACCGTGTCCACCTCCTATGCTACCGCCATATCCACCTCCGATTCCGGATCCACCGAAACCGCCTCCGATACCGGCTCCACCGATACCAGCTCCTCCGAAACCACCTCCGATGCCGGCTCCACCAATACCCGCTCCTCCAAAACCACCTCCGATGCCGGCTCCACCAATACCCGCTCCTCCAAAACCACCTCCGATACCGGCTCCACCGATACCGGCACCTCCGATGCCGGCACCAATTCCGGCACCACCGACAGTAGTATGAGAGTGAGTGTGGACAGGAACAACAACTGGGGTTGGAACTGAGACTGGTACCCTCTTGATCACTTCGACTGGGTATGGCTTTGGTACGCTGACTGGGTATGGGACGGCATGAGGCACTTTAATGACAACTGGTACTTTGACTGGGACGGGGTGAGGAACGGCAACTGGGTATGGTTTCGGGATGTGGACTGGTACCTTAACGGCAACAGGAACTGGCACTGGTTTGGTAACGGTAACAGGGAAGGGTTGTGGTACTGGAACGGCAACTTGCTTGGTAACAGTAACTACTGCGCCACCAATTCCGCCAAGACCACCCCCAATTCCGCCTCCGAAACCACCGCCAATGCCGCTTCCAAAGCCAGCTCCGATACCACCATATCCACCTCCGATTCCACTACCGAATCCGCCACCGTATCCTCCAACTAATCCACTGCTGTAACCACCGCCGTAACTACCTCCATAGCCGCCTCCGTATCCTGCGCCAAATCCTCCTCCGTATCCTCCACCATATCCACCTCCGTATCCTCCACCGTATCCACCTCCATATCCGCCTCCGTAGCCTCCGCTGCTGTAACCGCCGTAACCGCCCAATCCTCCATGGATGATGGATCTCTTCTCCTTAGAAGAAGACTCTCCACAGCTAATGCCGCTGACGCAGAGGGCTACCAAAATGCACTGCAACAAAACCAAAAAAATTAGAATTCAATCATAGAAACAATAGAAAGTCTACACTTACCGCGAAGGCTCTCATTCTTGACTTGAGACTGGGATGCGAATGATATTATTTTCGAATTTGTCTGAGATTTTATACCTTGAAAACTGACATTCAACCTGGATTTCTCTATGCATCAGAACATTTCGATTTCACCAATTTTTTCAAATCTCTCCGCATAGGATTTCGATTTACATAACGTAAAATTTTTCCAAATGTTTTGTTATGCATATCTCTTTTCACATAATACACAAATATCCTTTCCAAAACACACTTACTCCTCCTTTTGTTAATTCCAAACATATATTGTGAAATATTTAAATATATATATATATAAAAAAAAAACTAAAACAATAGTTCTAAGTCAGTTCATGTACCTTGTCTATCAATCAACATTCTGGAAGTACGGACAACTAACACAATTTAAATTTAAATAGAAAAACATAATTATTTTTCCATATTGTAAAAATATTAATATTTAGCATATTAGCATTTATAATTTATTAAACAAAATGAATTAAACATCACAACATCACAATTTTTATATCAATATTATTAATATGAGTGCATATAGGGTGTTGTTGAAAAGCAAACTTATTTTCTTAAATGTTTACAAAATCATTTTACGTAGAGGGATAAATTATTATCTTTTCCAAGGCAGCATAAATACTACCGTCAATTCTGACTGCATACATTAGAAAAGTCTATTTAAATTCTTGGGCTGAATAACAATAAATTTCTATTTCGCAACTGAATATAGATTTTTTTATTTCATTCATAAAAAATATAAATTTTCTCTAAAAGATTTCGGTCATTAACCCTTTAGTCATAATTGAGGTCATTAATAATAATAATAATATAAATCTATTTTTATTTTAAATTTTGCATTTAAAATTCTACTAAAGATGAGTAAAATTAATTCAAGAATGTCGTGTCAGGCGTAAAGTCGCGAAATTTCCCTATTTATTAAATTTACAATTCAAATTGGAAATCACATCTTCCGATTGTTATTAACAAATGTTTGCCAAATCTTTACTCAATCATTTAAAATCTGAACATTCTCAAGATCCTCTGCCACTATTTTTTATTTTTTTAATCTTTGAAGAAGAACAAACACGGAAATAGAAGATAGACTATAGAAGAATAGTAAAGGATATAATTTATTATTTCTTCAAATATTTGGCATAATTTGCATAAATATCAGGCAATGAAATGTTTTGTAATTATCGATAAAATATCATCAGAACAATATATCGATTCCATTTATAATTGATTATAGTTTTAAGGGTATGGACTGAGCTTATGTTCACGACTGCTATTGAAGAAAATATATATATATAGAATGAATTGGTTGGGACTTTGTTTTTATTATTTTATGCTGACATACACTTTCAATTTATTAAAAAGATGTCCGTGACTTTGTACGATACAATTATACGATGCAATATGAGTTTGAGACCACTAGTATATAAATATAACATATGTGTATCTTATATATATTTGTATACGTTGTAATCGATATTTTTAACACATTTTTCCTGACATTGTTGCAAAAGAAAAGAAAAGTATGTGCAATAAATATAAGAAAGGACATTGTTAATAATATGTAAACAAAAATAAGTAATTTTAACAAATATATATTTAATATGTATATGGATAAATTATTTACAAACAATGAACATGAGGTTAAAACTAATTTAACTTTTTGGTTTGACTCCTCTAACAGTTAGTTTCTGATGCATAGGTATGACTATCGCGATATCCAGCAGTGACATAGTTGGCAAGAGCATGATGACCAGAGTCATATCCACCTTCAATACCTCCTCCAAGATATCCAGTACCCGAATATCCATTGTACGCGCTCGAGGTAGGAACGTCTGAGGACCCCTTGTAATAAGCTTTTGTTACGCCGGCATTTACTCCGAAACTTCCTCCAGCTGCAAGACCTGCAATTGGAATTCCTGCACCTGCAGCGCCAATGGCAGTTCCGTATTCACCTCCTAAGTTTCCTCCAAAACCTATATTCCCAGCTCCACCAATATTACCGATGGTAGTTAGTGTGTGAGTATGAACTGGAAGTCTGTAGTAAATCGGTTTTGGAACGGCAACTGGCACCTTCCTAACTACCTCCACAGGATATGGCTTTGGTACTGCTACTGGTACGTGTACTGGATGATGGACCTTAAAGTATACTGGTACTTTTACGCGGACTTCCTGATGGACTGGCACTGGGTACGGTTTTGAGATTGGCACAGGCACTTTAACAGCGACTGGAACTGGTACTTTCTTAATTACAGGCACCGGGTAGGGCTTGGCAACTGGCACGGTGATGTCTTTGGTAATCAAGACATTCACTCCATAACCTAAACCATTACCGCCATATCCACCTCTGGAACCGCCTCCATATCCACCTCCGTAACTGCCTCCATATCCACCTCCGTATCCACCTCCGTATCTACCTCCGTATCCACCTCCATATCCAGATCCGTAACTTCCACTTTTGTATGCTCCACTTATGTATCCGCCATGACTTCCACTATATCCATGACTTGCATATCCATGTCCATGTCCTGCTCCATAACCGTATGCGTGTCCACCGCCATAACTATATCCGTGTCCACCATCATAACCACCATGAAAAACTGACCTTTTTTCTTTAACCAGAACTCCTCCGCATCTTATGCTACCGATGCAAAAGGCTACCAAAAAGCACTGCCAAAGAAAACGCAATTAAATTTACGGTACACGAATTCTACAAATACAAACTTACCGCAATGATCCTCATGTTAAATGTGAGTGCTCAAAGATGTTAGTGATGTTTACCTCTGACCGGTAGATCCTTATATACAATGCATCCGACATTTAGATAAGCAAACGAATATCCGATTTCTCCAAATTTCTTCTTCCGATTTACATAAAACCGAAAAATTTCACGCGGATACATCTTCAAAAGATTTATTGATTTTTATTAACATAATTTCATTGCAGAATAGTCCTCGAGGTATAGTTTCAATATATAGAGATTAAAAATTTTATTAATCACCAAAATCGACATTTTTAGTTGATGCTAACTTTAATTGCAACAATAAATGCATTAATATAATTTTAATATGTAAATTTTTAGAAAGCTAAATTATTAAATATTGAGCAATAATTCGATTCAAAACTACAATTTTCAATTGTTTATATTATAATTACTTTAGCTTTTAACTTAAATTACCCTAATTACTAAAATAATTATTTTTACATAACAATGTAACACATATGGAAGCGGTCCTCGTCTTTCGTACTTTCGATTTATTTAATATAATTTATAAGTCGAATCTCAGTATATTTTTTTTCATTTTATAAAAAATAATCGAATGCGATCCGTAAATCTAGTATTGCTATAGTTTGTTTCAAGAAATGTAAGAATCGTGTAGGTTTGAGAATTTCTCAACTAAAATATATTGGTTTCGATATTATCAAGGGTATCAGCCCGATAAAAAATGCAAATTAAAGGAAAAAAAAACAGATTTTTTGAACAATACTATACAGTGCATAAAAAAGTGTAGTAAGTTATACACAGATATATTAACCGATATTTCTTTTAGCAACAACATTTGAATTATAATGTAAACTAACGGTTGTTTTTTCGATTCAAAATAGAACCAAACCCAATCTTGTGGAGTCTAAAGCTCTATGTTGATATGTAAATACATATTTCTGCAAATTGTTCATTTGTATTTTTTTAAATATAACTAAAACCAAACTTGACAAAGCACTAGAGTGAATGAATATTGAAATGCATTTTCTTTCATATATTTTTACATTTATTTTTTAAATAGAACCGAAACCAAAGTTGATAAACCTAAGGCACTAAAATGTATATGGAAATATATATGTATATGCAAGTTGTTTATATATATATATTATTTCAAATAAAACCATAACCAAACTTGAGGAAATTCATATGTCTGCAAATTGTTTACTTTATAAATTATTTGGAAAATTATATTCTGGATGATATAGAGCAGTGGTTCCCAAACTTTTACGTACCATGCCCCACCAAAACCTTTCAAAAATTCTTGTTTCCCGTACGTAACATACACATTACGCAATACAGTTCAACTCTAGATGTATCCATTTTCGAATTTCCGCGCTTAACAATCAAATTTCCACAATGTTGCGAAACACTGATATAGAGTGAAGAAATAATTTGGAAATAATTATTGTATTTTTATCATTTATTTCAATTAATGTGTTAAGTGTATTATTTATTTACATTTATAATAATAAGTTCGATTAAAATTGTATAAAAAAATCAATTTCGGGTACATTTCAAACTACCACTTCCATTGGGAAGCGTAAGTGTTGTAACCCGTGTTTCCGTTGAGACCTCCGTATGCACTCGAGACGTAGCCTGTACCGGTAATGCCAGTGGAACCAGAATAACCTCCATTTACACCACCAGAATATCCTCCACTTACAGCACCTGAATATCCTCCATACAAACCACCGGAATATCCTCCAGACAAACCACCGGAATATCCTCCAGATAAACCACCGGAATATCCTCCAGATAAACCACCGGAATAACCTCCAGATAAACCACCGGAATAACCTCCAGATAAACCACCGGAATAACCTCCAGATAAACCACCGGAATAACCTCCAGACAATCCGCCAGAATATCCACCTGTTACGGATCCGGTAACGCCGCCAGAATATCCGCTACCATAATTATTGTAGCTGGAAGCATCGAATCCGCCATTACTGTCATAACTGCTTGACGTATCAACACTGACGTCATTTGCTCCGTAGCTTCCTGCGTAAGTTGTTCCAGTATTTACAGATCCTGAGTTCAAAGAATATCCTGTTCCGTAATTTCCTTCATATCCCGTTCCGTAGTTTCCGCCGTATCCAGCTCCGTAACTTCCTCCATAACCACCTGTGGAAACTCCACCAAGAGTAGTGTAGGTATGGCTGTGGACTGGAACTTTAACGTAGACTGGAGTTGGGACCGAGACCGGGACTTTCCTGATGACTTCCACGGGGTACGGCTTGGGTACTTCGACTGGAACACGGACGGTTTGAGGGACTTTTACGTAAACAGGAACCTTAACCGGAACCTGCTGCGTGACCGTCACTGGATATGGCTTTGGGATGTGAACAGGCACCTTTACAGCGACTGGAACGGGAACTGTTTTGGTTACTGTTACGGGATAGGGTTGCGGTACTGGCACGGCAATCTTTTTAGTTACAGTCACCACGCCTCCGTTGCCATAGCCTCCGCCGTAATTTCCGTATCCACCGCCGTTTACGTAACCTACACCAGCATAGCCAACTCCACCGTAGCCTCCTGCTACGTATCCACCGTTATACCCTCCGTAGCCACCTGACGAGTATCCACCATTGTATCCTCCATAGCCACCAGCCGCGTATCCGCCATTGTATCCTCCGTAGCCACCACTGTTGTAACTTCCATAACCGCCACCGTTGAATCCTCCATGTCCGCCTCCATAACCGCCCAATTTACCTAATAAAAGTGATCTTTTCTCCTTTGTAGAGGATTCACCACAGCTCACACCGTAAACGCACAAGGCCACTAAAATACACTGAAAATAAAATACATATTGAAATAAAATCAACATTACCAATGAATACAAATTAGTAAAACAAAAACTATTTATTATAAGCCACACATTAAAAAATAGAAAATTAAAACATATTTAAAAAATCATAATATTTAAGAAACGTTAGGGCTATTAGGTTTTTCCGTCTTTTATAAATATTTACAATTAAATTGAATAAACAGTAATATAATTTTGTAATACTAATCACAATTAAATCATGAAAAATCTAATGTACTTACTACGAAGGTCCTCATGTTGTGGACAGAAGTTCTTAATGATGTGTTACTTATCCGGACGGTCTTTTATACCGTGATCCTCTCCGCAGAAGCAGACACGCAACATTGATTCTCAATATCAATAATGTTCGAAAATTCGAAGATTTCACTAATTTTTAGCACCAACCCGACATCTCGCATACACATTAGATGTACATAAAGGCCACGAAAATCCCAAGCACACATATACACTGTAGAGCAAGTTTGCCGAAGAGCCGTTGTTTGCACTTCTAATAGTCACTCATTTGACATTGAAACTTTAAAACATAACGACCACAAGCGCGATGTATGTAAATGGTGAAAGCAATTGGTAATTTCCCATTGGGAAATATTTCTTTTCATTGATTTTGTTACATTTTGTTTGATTTTCGTTCATTATGTCTTATGATTTTTAAGTTATTTGAAAACACCGAAAGAATAGAATTAACTACATTACAAAGTAAAACATTAAAAATATATTCACGTAGAAACTGTAATAATAATATTGTTTGTCATCACACCAAATACAATTCGCATTTCCGTGCTCATATATGTGTTGACGATAATTTAAATATTGCTTAATATTTATTGAGGACATACTCAAAATAATATAAAGATAGCTAATTGAATTTGTCAAGAAACATAATGACATTCACAATCTTTGAAATTTCTTTATTTTATATATTTATTTTTAAATATTGTTTTTAAGAAATTATATATTGCAAATTTGTAGAAAATAAGGCAATGAGTTACTGTTTTCTGAAAAGGGGAAGATTGGTCAAATAAATAATTCAAAGACATTGGAGAAAATTAGTATAACTGAATTTTAAACATAATTTTAATTTAATATAAATAATAATATTTATTGCAACAATAAAAATACAAAACAAAAATAAAATATAAAGTCAACTGGTGCAAAGAGTCATTCTGTCTGTAGAATTCTATTATATATGAGAATATAAGTGTTTAATTGTAGATTTTTATACAGCGATCATATTGTCATATCATACAAGAATATCAGTCTTCAAAGTCTACATAATTTTCTAAATATATAAATAAACATTCATCTAGCTTTTTACCATAAGACCCAAATTAATGGGATGATCCAATTTTAAGTCTACTTTTCTATATAAAAAGGTGCGTATTATGAACCGAAAAGTACGGTTTAAGTTTACAATTATATTTTTATTTATCTTTTCATTGATTTTGGATTATAACTTGTATTCTGTTATTTATTTATATTTAGAGATGTGTAATTCTGGCTAATAGGCGTTTTTGTAGACGCGTTTTTTGGTAATAAAAATTGCTGTTTTGTTTACTATATTAATAAAAATATTATTTGCAAGTGTGAAGCTGTTATTGTAGAATTATTATGTTTCTATTTTCATAATAAATATTGTTTAAAAATGCCTGATAATTATACACCAACCCAATATTATTATATAATGATTCAAATTTAATCTCTTGTTTAATTCAAAAAATATTGTAATTATGTTACTACACTTAACATACACTAAACATACAAACTTATTTTTTTTATATGAATCACCAAATCTATTGTTTATCAACAAGAGAAAACACTTAATATATTCACCTTTGGATTGCTTAAAAATGAATAAACAATATTTCCTTCAGATTGTGCGACTGTTCTTGAGACGACGCGCGATTGATACAATTGTATTAATAATTTGTAATGTTCAACTTTACAAATCGTATAGTTTAGTAAATCGTATGTTCGACGACTTACTAAACATAACTTTGAAGTTCATTTTCTTCTGGAACATTTTTGAGTTATATAATGATTGAATATAGGTAATGAAACAAAGGTTATTTATATTTTTTTTATTGTCTTGATCTTTTATTTACAAAAATGTATGTACGAAAGTAAAAAAATGATATAGCATTTCATTTCTATCTGTTTTACCATTTCCAGCTGGAATCGTGAGATCCAGAGGAGCCAATAGAACTGCCACCGTAACTTCCGCTGTAACCGCCATCAACACCACCGCTGCTGAAACCGCTACCGACGTTTTCATTGGAGCCACCGAAACCGGAATCATAGGATCCACCGAAGGATTGTCCGCTGAAGTGAATTGGAGCACCATATGTTTTGGTACTATGGGAGTGAGTATGGGTGTAGATTGGCTGTTTAAAGTAGACTGGGGTTGGCACCGAGACAGGAACTTTCTTGATGACCTCCACTGGGTACGGTTTTGGCACTGGAACGGCGACCTTCACTGGGTGTGGAACCTTAACGTAGACTGGAACATTGACTGGGACTTGATGGGTGATGTGCACTGGGTATGGTTTTGGTACTTCAACTGGTACTTTAACATGGATAGGTACCGGGAATGGTTTTGATATATGAACTGGATACGGTTGTGGGACACCGACTGGAATATTCTTGGTGATGGTAACTGGGTAGGGTTGTGGAACACCAACTGGCACCTGCTTGGTCACAGTAACAATTTCCTTGTGAACTCCTCCACCAATTCCACCGCCGAAGCTTCCTCCGAAGCCACCGTCAAAACCTCCGCTGCTTCCAAAGCTTCCACTGTCGTAGCTGCCGCCATAGCTTCCGAAGCCGCTATCATATCCGCCCACGCTTCCTGAACCAAACCCGCTTCCATGGTAAATGGACCGTTTATCTTTAGGAGTTTCCTTTTTTTCATCCCCGCAGATAACTGCACTTACGTACAGGGCAAGTACAGCGGCGCACTAAAAACGTCAATTAATTACCAAAAGAAATCAACAGATGTTATTGAACTTACCACAAAGGACCTCATACTTCTGTATGAATACTTGAGAAAATGATGCCGATATGTGATTTGCCGATGCTTTATATACTAAGTGGGCTGGCATTGAAACAAGATTTTTTGGATCATCGGAACATCCGCGTCAGCTGTAACTGCACAAACGGGTCCGACAACAGATTTTCGCAACGATGAGCGTCGCAACATTGAACAAAAGCCCTAACGTATTTACCAATAACATAGTTTACGGAATAGATTTTAAATGTAATAATTGCAATTACCAACACCACAATTTAAATTTATTGTATGTTATTTCTTTCTTATAAGAAAGGGAATAATTTATCTATTATTAAGCACTTACAGAAATGTTTTTTATTCTGACATCATTTTTTAAATTAAATTAAAATCGATCATGTTTTAGACCGTTTTTCAAGTACAATTATAAATAAATCTCCAAAATTATAAAAAGAATTGATATTAACAGATTTTTTACATAAATTCCTACACTTGTTATTGGAATTGCATTTCTATAATCTTCTTTATTGAGTCAAGGTGTTTCTATTTCTATTTATTTATATTCTTAATTTTGTGTATGAATGTTACTAATAATGATTCAATCTTCAATAAGTACTATTTACAACAACTTTCATCTGAATAGTATTTGACTTAGATAGAAATATATATACAGTGGAACCTCGCTTAACGAGCAATTTGGCATAACGAGTGACGAGGAAAGGAGAAGTCTCAGATTATGCGCTTGCTACATCGTTTTGAAAACTTGTGTTCACATATTATTTGTATTTTTATGTGTTATTTGGGATTTTTTTCTGTGAAAATTTTAATAACATTTGTATGTCTCTGAGACCAAGTTATACTTTTTTTCGACATGGAACGCATTATCGTATTTTACATTAGTTTATATAAGGAAAATTGTTTCACTATACGAGTTAAAATCCGGAAATCCGAAAAAGAACGCACATTATATATTAATTTATGCGCTTAAAGAAAGTTCCATTAGTTTGTTACAATAAATATTATTTTATTGTAAGAAACAAATTATAAACTTAACACAATAATATAATAAGAATAAAACTAAATTAAAGGGCTATTGAAAAGTTGCGTTAATATTCTGAAATTGTGGCAATAGGCCCATAATTTAAAAAACATAATTTGATTCGATATTTCTTAAAATTTGACTGCCAATCTCAATTTTTAAACTGTATTATATTTATAATTTAACTAAGATAATAGTTATGTAACTGACTTAATATATAAATTTACATTATCTGTTCCCAAAGATTTAAAATTATTAAGATCAGTTGTGTATTAAAATTTTGAATAATTATTAGATTGCATAATAATATTTGTCAATTTTCTACATGAATTACCAAATAAATTGAGTATAAACAAAATATAACACTTAATACATTCAATTTTAGATTGCATAAAAAATGAATAAATACTACAATATTTTCTTAAGCCAGGGAATGAGATGATTGTGAAATTGATCTTGGGCTATCAATTTGAAGCACAATTGAGTTTGAAATTTCTTTTGTTCTCTATCGTTGTATACAATCCTAAACATCATGGAACCTCATAATTTCTTTTCTTCGTTTAAAAAAGGTTATTCTTAGCGAAACCGGTGTCGATCTGTACACATTTTCTATCGAACCACGACCTGTGGTTCAATTTTTCGCAAAAAATGATTTTTTTTATAAGTTACAAGTATTGATTTAATTAATTAATAACTATCTACGGTGCTTTTAATTTGTATTTAAACGTTATAAAAAATATTTCTCATATTTTCGACGGATTTAGAGAACTGAATTTCATACAATACTTTTTTTTTAACTTTTTACTATACTAATTAAAACATATATAATTAAACTATATAAAAAAATCTCTTGTTTAATTAATCAATGATTAAAGATCTGTTACTAGACTTAATATAATCTAATAATTGGTTTCATACGATTCAATAAAATTAAAATAACCATTAAAAATAAGTAAAACTATTAGTTGTTTATTATGATTTATAACAAGATATAGTTTTTGTCAATCAGATTGCATAATATTATCTTTGAATTTTCTACATGAATCAACACAAAACATTTATATATTCATTAGTTAAGCCAACTAATATAAAAATTATCAAATTCTACTTGAACAATCAATTTTATACTTACTTTATAAAATTGAGTTTGAAATGTGTTTTGTGGACTTACGTTATATACAATCCCAATCATCATGGAATTTAGGTAATGAAACGAAGTTTAATTTTGTTTATCTTTTATTATCTTGATTTTTTATATACAAAAAAAAGGTATATACGAAAGTAAAAATTTGTAAGGTATTTTACATTAATCGGATTTACCATTTCCAGCTGGAAGCGTATGAGTTGTAACCGGAGTTTCCGGAGATACCTCCGTGGGTGCTTGGGACGTAACCGGATCCAGAGGAGCCAAATGAGCTGTCGCCGTAACTTCCGCTGCCGTAGTTACCACCGCTGTAACCGCCTTCCAAACCGCCGCTGCTGTAGCCACCGCCTAAGCTACCGCTGTTATAACCACCGCCTAAGCTACCGCTGCTGTAGCCACCACCTAAGCTTCCGCTGCTGTAACCGCCTCCGACGCTTCCAGAAGAGCCACCGAAACCGGAATCGAAGGAACCACCGTAAGATGATCCACCGAAGGACTGCCCAGTGGAGTAGATTGGAGCGCCATAGGTCTTGGTGGTTTGAGAGTGGGTATGGGTGTAGATTGGCTGTTTAACGTAGATTGGGGTTGGCACGGAGACTGGGACTTTCTTGATGACCTCGACTGGGTATGGTTTTGGCACTGGAACGGCAACCTTCACTGGATGTGGAACCTTGACGTAGACAGGAACATTGACTGGAACTTGCTGGGTGATGTGGACTGGGTATGGTTTTGGTACTTCAATTGGTACTTTAACATGAACAGCTACCGGTACTGGTTTTGGTACGTGAACTGGATAAGGTTGTGGGATACCGACTGGAATCCTCTTAGTGATGGTGACTGGGTAGGGTTGTGGAACAGCAACTGGCACCTGCTTGGTGACGGTAACAATTTGCTTGTGAACTCCACCACCAATTCCTCCGCCGATTCCGCCGCCAAAGCTTCCTCCGAAGCCACCGTCGAATCCACCACTGCTTCCGCCGAAGCTTCCGCTTTCATAGCCGCCACTGCTTCCGAAGCTTCCACTGCTTCCAAAGCTTCCACTGCCGTAGTTGCCGCCGCTTCCGAATCCAGCACTGCCTCCGAATCCTTCGCCGCCTCCATAGCTTCCTCCGCTTCCGAAGCCGCTATCGTAGCCGCCTACGCTTCCTGAACCAACTCCGCTTCCATGGTAAATAGACCGTTTATCTTTAGGGGTTTCCTTCTTTTCATCCCCGCAGATGACTGCGCTCACGCACAGCGCAAGTACAGCGATGCACTGAAAACGTCATGTACATTAGCAAAAACTTAAAAGTTACCATATTCCATGCAACTTACCACAAAGGACCTCATACTTCTGTTTGGAGACTTGAGCAAATGATGCCGACATGGGATCTGCCGGTGCTTTATATAGTAAGTGGACTGGCATTGAAACAAGATTTTTAGGATCATCCGAACATCCGCGTCCATCGCAGCTGTAACCGCACCAACGGGTCCGACGACAGATTTCTGCAACGCTCACCAATGTCGCAACAAGGAACAAAGTCCTTAACGTATTTACTAATAACACATTTTGCGGAATCGATTTTAAATGCGTTAATTGCAAGCACCAACATCTCAATTTACATTTCTTGAATGTTCGTTACACTTACGAAATAAAGTAAAAACATTCCAACGCTTTTACCACATTTCAATTTAAACCAATCTCAACGATTTTCCTCGAATAAAAAGATGTACATGAAACGTAATTTACGATTTAATCGGTAAATTTCCCGAATTTTGACTCCTGATTTTGAAATGTGAAGGACGTCCATCTGCTTGAATTATTCAAATTTCAATAGTTATTTATAAAAAAAATAAATTCAAAAAATATGTATATAATCCTCTTTCGGCATCCAATTTAGAATAAAATACTTTTTTTTAAAATTAACATTCTATATGGCCACAGATTTAATGGTCGTGTTATTATTTCTTTTCTGGAGAAAGTGGATCGCTAAAAAATAACCTACTAATATTTACAATGACTTAATATGAGGCGCATATCGAAAATAGATTGTAACAAATCTACGTGCATTTACCAGACTCGTCGGCGCTTTAAAACATAATTTCTCTTTTTACTACATTGAATTTAATCCCAGATATTTTATTGCCGATTTACGCCTATTAATTGACCTTTCACTAAAAATAAATGATTGCTTGATGAGAAAAAAAACTCTAAAAATTTAATTACACTCAACAGATATTGATAATAAATAAATAATTTAGAAATTAGCGTTTTCATAAAAATGTTTCTTCATAATTATTCATTGATTTTTTTCTTTGTGAAAGCCAAGGGCCGGGCGGTCCTTGCCTCGGTTTCGACACTTTCTGGATAATAAATTGTACTTTCCACGATCGAATTTCATTGAAGAGTTGTTTCCAAGAAGAAGAAGACCTCGCTCCACAAAAATTGTATTCCGCAGAAGATTTATTGTGTCATTTTTCATCCGTATTTTTTTATGAAGGATAATAAATATTTTGGGATTTTTTTTTTAAATTATTTTATTTATTAAATACGTTTGTTACACAATCCAAATTGGGTTCACGATCTCCGTTAAAAATATATTCAATAATAACACAATAATATCCATATTGTATTCTACTTTCTAAAAGGGAGATCAAGTGTGTTATGCCTTTTTAGTCTATTGGGGGTTTCACTATAGTCTAGCAAGTTTATGGATAGAATATTAGGGTGATTTTCCAATCTGATTTGGTATTTGCTCACTAAACGTCTAGATTTCACTGATTTATTTAATTCATATAATTACAAATATTTTTATTATAAGTATTATATTACTTAATTTCTTTTAAATCTAAATAATATGAAAACAAACATTACAAAATTACATTAAAAAACAATCAATTTTAATGAAAAAATATAGTGACATATTATGATTTTTTACCATTTGCAATACCAATTTGATGGACAGCTCATATGTAATTAAAATTGTCCAATTGTTAATCGTTAAAAAATAGATTATTTTCACTTATTAAGATATCTGAAAAAATACATGAATAGCAAAAAAAGTACTTTTTAAGGCTTGAAAAACGTCGAGATGAGTGTTTTTAGTCAGAAAACTGGGAAGTTCTAGATGTATGGAAATTGGATAGCTTTTTAAATTAAAAAATATTGCACTAATAGAATATATATTGTTAATTGTACTTTAAAACCCATATTTTATGTAAGAACAAAAATCTAATCTAAATATTTTATGTTCTATAATTCAACTAAATAAGATCAATAACATGTACTAAATTATTCCAATTCGTATTATCGATTAAGCTCTTCTTTGAGATGATGTGATGTAATCATATGCATGCTTGAGAATATGTTTATTTGAGAACTTTCTATCGGTTTTTTTATTTAATACATAAATTTTAAAACAAATCGTCTAATAGTTAATTTATACCAATAAATATGTTAAATTCCGCATAGGATCAGCTCATTTACATATTTGCAACCAATCAAACTATAAAAATGCGAGGTAAATACAAACACAAAACAACTACAACATTTAAAAAATAGACGCTATCTACACAATATCTACTATTGTAGATATTGTGGGATTGAAATAATTTTCTAGCTTCGTCTCATAAAATCGTTGCAAGATGTAATCTTTCATTTTAAGTACGTTTGCTTCATTGTGCAAGCCATTTGTCGTCGTGTCCTAGCATTTGTTTTGGTACAGCTGACTTGGACCTCTGTATATTAAAATAAGTCTCATTATGCTTTTATAGATGATAAAGCAACCATACCACGTTGATAAAGTACAGGTTCTCTTATAGATGATAAGCTTGTTGCTTCTATTCAATCCACTTCCCTGAGCAATCGACGGGTTTAACCAACTCATTACTCCATAAAGCTTAAGCACAGTTAATTATATGCATGTCAAAAAAGTTGATTTGGCGAGATTTTCATGCGAAAGAACGTGTTTTCTCTAGACCTTAGTATAAGTTTTCCTGAATTTCTTTTGGTTTTCTATTTTTAAAAATACGTTTTAATAAATTTTAGATGTCTCTTCGAATTAATTCTTACATCTACATCAAATGCATTGGAAGACAAAAATATTGTTAAAGAATAGAATGACAATTTCAATTTGAATGATTTGAAATGGGAACTTGATTTGTATAAAACAAAAAATCAATCTAATTTGTACTGATTCTGAGTTTCTTATAACACTGTTTTCATATAATCCTCCACACAGTTCCTATAGAACACTGTTTGCAGATTACGTGGTATCAATGATCGGGTTATAAGGTTTACTCAACATTTGATTCTTGCTAATAAAACTATGATTATAAGAATAATTTTATAATAGTACATTTTGTTGTTATTTATATTTTATTGCTTACAATTCACATAAACATTTTTAATAACATATATAATTTATTTAAAATAATAATGAAAAATACTTAAAAGAACCCTCCCCGGCGGGGAATCGAACCCCGGTCTCCCGCGTGACAGGCGGGGATACTGACCACTATACTACCGAGGACTTGTATTTGGTATCATTCTTTCATAATAAGTACAAAATAGTATAGTGTTTATTTACCTAAGTACAAATTAGGTAAATAAACAATATATTATTTTACCTCACAGGTATTACAACTATTACGCAGACAAACTTCACTATATTTATCGTTAATACATAGCTAAATGTATTAAGTAAACCCTCTGGCTGGAGGTGCATTTAAAATTTAAAAAATAGTTTACAAATTTCTCAACAATAGTTGTAAATAATTAATAAGTGTGTCCCAAAATTAACGCAAGATTTGAATTAAATAGAAATTTCTAATTGAAATAACCACAATTCAAATCAAGACTTATGCATCAATTATTTGTCAATGCATTTTTCAATATATTTTTTTAACGCTATCCAGAATAATTTTGTTTGGTAAATCCGCAACCAAACATACTTTCATTTCAAATATAAGTATGGTAAAGGTATCTTCTGTCCGGTGGCAATCGCAAGACCGACAACCGAAAAACCGTCTATTGAAAGGCCGACGTTCGAAATCCCGAGTGTATCGAAATCCCGACAATCAAAATCCCGACAGTGACTTTTATTATTATAATTTCTGAAACGGATACTGAAAAAAATATTTTTGGCCCAATTTATAATTGTTGTTATATATTCTTAATAACAATAAATAATATTAATTATTATTGTATTTTTTTTTTCGTTGACTTATTCATTATAAAACTTAAGAATAAGAAATATTCTATAATAAAATTAGCTTATGTTATTAACAATAAATAACAACAATTAATAATCTTATTAATATAAGATATAGTCGGGATTTTGACATAGTCGGGATTTCGATATAGTCGGGATTTCAAACGTCGGAATTTCGATACACTCTGGATTTCGAATGTCGGGATTTCGATAGACGGGAAAATATATATTTAAAAATTGAAAGACATATTTTTTGGTAAAATCATTTAATAAAACCACCGTCAGCATTAATAACTGTCTCTATACAAGATCTAAATTGCCGACAAGCTTGAATTATTTTAATTCATAGCAGACATTACTCTGAATCTTTCAATGAATCTTTAGAGTTATGGGGGTTTTCATTGACCTCTACAACGTTGCACAGTTTATAGGACCAAATGATAATTTCTTCTTCAACTTGTTTAATAGCCTCTTGGATCGGATTAAGCGATTGCCTTTTGTGACATAAAGTCGCATCATAGACAACATTTCGAATTGTTCCTTCCGACACAAGGAATTCTTTTGCATAGATTTTCTGGGATCATGCAATGGTTTGTTGAACTCGTTGAACAAATTCTGGCGTTCTCGTTGTGTCAGAGCGCTTTACTTGCCCCTTAGTGCCCTTTAGTCTACTGGAGCCTGTCAGTTGAAATGTTGGTGCGAGCTATGCCTTCTTGGCTTTGACGCTTGGTTAACTTCAATGTTATCTGCCGATCATTGTTTTCGGTCGCTTGAGGCGTGTGGGATCGTCCTTATCGTATTCCACTGCGCTTCGCACCAGAGGGTTCTCTTGATCGTCTCGGAGATAGTGGGTATGTTTGCCTCTCGGTGGATCTGCTGGTTACGCACATACCAGGGGGCGTCAAATATTATTCGTAGCGTCTTGTTTTGGACCACTTGGAGCTTCCTGATGTGGCTAGCTGCGGCATGTGCCCAGGCCGGAGCTGCGTATGTGAGGGTGGGTACAGTTGTTTCAGCATTCCGTATGCCTTGATGGAAGCCCGCTCGGTGTGTTCCTTGAACCGGAGCCCTTTGTCCAGCATGACCCCCAGGTATTTGGCCGCTGGCTTCCATTCGATGGTTCTATCGAAGATAGTGATGTCCTCTTCTGGTGAAGAGCAGCGCTGTGCTCTTGTCTGGATTCACATCGATGCGCCATAGACGGAACCACTCTTCAAACCGGTCCAGGGCCTCTTGGAAAAGCCTGGTGACATGCAGTGCGCTGGAGTGTCGGACCAGGATGGCCGTGTCATCACAATGGCCACGATGTGCATCATTGATCTGTGCGGGAGGGCTTTGTGCACTCGGTTGGTGATGCCGTCGTTGCCTGGTGCCTTCTTCGGCTTGTACCGCTTGAGGATAGCTCTTACTTCACCGGGGGTGACTGGGTCGATGGCTTCTTCGTCTGGTGTGTTGCTGGTTCGTCTGGTGTGGCGCCTGTTAGTTCGGTGCACTTGCTCGATGTGGTCCAGGTCAGCTCCAGGCTATCAGCAAAGGCCTCCGCCTTGCCCTGGTCCAAGTACACCATGCCATATTATTCTTGCGAAGGCTTTTAGAAATCCTCCAGACTGCCTTGTTGTCGTCTACTAGACTCAGGAAATGTTCCTGCCATCGGTCGTTTCTGAGAATATCCAGATCAGCTCGGACATGAGCCGAGAGTATTCTAAGAATGCGTTTGTGGCGTCTCCTGGTACTCCTTCTTCGCTCTCTGATAAGTTGGTGAAGTTCGATCGGTAGGTTGTTATATTGTCTTCTTTGCGGGGTGTTGTGCGTAGAGGCTGTTGATAGATTTGGGACTTGGCCGGTGAAAGGTGTTGACTATGTCGCTGAACTGAGTCCAGTTTACCTGCGCGTGGGCACCACGGGCTCGTCGTCTTGGGCGTCCTCTAGGTGTAGAGCTAGTGGGTTATGATCGGAGCTTAGCTTAGTCGAGGGTGAAGAACTGGGTGACGTCCTTGACGATCACAATGTAAATAATGTGTTGGTTCGTCTAGCGACTTTCAGAAATCGCGATATTTCCAAATCTCCACGATCAGCTTTTAAAGCAACAATTACAGCATGTCTTTTCATTTCTTGAGTTATCTGGGGGTCTGACATTTCTTTTAAATGTTTAACCTGAAAAGTATAATTTATTAGAATTCAGTGAAGCCATAAAATAGGTTCTTCTCAAATAAGTTACGCATCCTTTAGTTATATTTGTTTGAATCTTTATAGTTACTTTATGGCAAAATATTAATTACTACATTTGTATTGATTGTATTGTTATGATTGTTACCATAGTCCGCGCCACCCAGTTTGGAAACCGCTGCCATAATGTATTTATTATCAATATACAAATATAGTTAATGCATGTATAAATACTTGTTATGACAAATACCACTCAGTCTTGTTATATTAATGTTAAGAAAGCTAGTTTATAAAGCACTTTGTTAAATACTATATATTGAATATAATTTGATAATTTCTATAAATACTAAAGTATTTTCTGTTTACAAACAGGCAACTTCTACAACACATGTGCAGTATAGTGAAACGTAACACGCAATGTTTATGTAAACATTGGTCAGCAAGTTCATTATAAAATTTTCTATCAAATCAAGAGTTGAATACGAAATGGAAAGTAAATTGGTGGTCAGAGGAGAAGCCTCAGAAACGGAAAGTGAAGATGAGCCAATCAACATCACCGAATCTTTATCAGTAAGTGATTATAATCCATCCGATGACTTGATAACGTATCAACATAGCACGTCAAAGTTAAATATTTATTACAGGTACAAGCAACAATGGCAAACTCTAGGAAAGGTGAAGTTATAACCGGAGAAGATTCCGAATCTGATTCAGAAACAGGTAGGTTACAATAAAACAAACACGTCAACTAACTAATATGTAGGCAACCGTATGTACTTTCAATGATATATTGTTCCCTATATTAATTTCTTTATTTAAAAAGCACTATTTATGAATGAAAACTGTATTATGACATAACATGATTTAATTTTTTTAAATTTCTAATTAACATTGTAGTTATTTACACGAATGAACCAACAGAAAATCAACTACCACGAGCTGCAGAAAAATCGATGAATAAACCTAAAAAGACCTATGAAACTTTATTAATAAGAAAATTAAGTGAGCCATACTCTCATTGATCCTATTTTTATTTTATTGTCTAATTTATTTACTCTAGAAGATGATAACAAGCAACTGTATCGAGATCTAGACGGATTCACAACTGAGACCATCACCAAAGCGAGGGATGTTCTGAATACTGCTGAACAGGAATTAATTAAATCGCAAATCACTTTGCAGGGTGCTTTGACCGCACTCAGAGGACTGAATCACAACTCGGCGGCGATCAAGAACAAACTAAGGGATATTCTGTCGTCGAACTTTATTTCCAACATTAATAAAAATATTGTTTAACATTATATAAATAATAATAATAAAATTTATTTTAACAAATCATACTACATACTCAAAAAGAAAAAAACATAATATAACTGCCCTATATATAATATTTTCTCTTAAATTAATATTCTTCAAACAGATTTTTTAGTATTTTCAAGTTCATCGAAATGATCCATGATTCGTTCACAAAATATTGAACACACTATAAACAGAGCAAATCCAACTTAAGATTTTAAAATGATACTACCATTATTTCCTCACATTAGAGATAATCATTAACATAAATTCATTTCCTATTGTTGCCTTAACTAGACACGATTACCATCTCAAAATGATACTTGCAAAATATTAACTATTTTAAAAAAAATAGTCAACAAACTCCAAAATATGGATTATAACAATTAAGAAACAACTTCGATGAATTAATAAAAATATAAGAATTAACAGAAAAGCAAATAAAATGATAAAACTCAAAAGAAAATAGCTAATTTCTTGAATAAAGATCAATATAATAAATAGAATCAATAGAATAAAGATACAATTAAAATAAGATAGAAAATGATCAGCAACATATTAAATTGACCAATGTGACCAGCTCCACAAAGTGCTCTAAATTCAGCATTCCACAAGGTAGAGTACTGTACACACAAATCTAAAATAATAGAATAAATGAAATTTAAATTATTGAGAAATAAATAAATACTTTGCTACTCAAATTAATTAAACCACAGTTTAATATAGAAGAAAGATATATTAACTCGCACAGAAATCATAGACTACTCATTATGGAAGGCTACAAAAAAGCTCCGAAATCTGCAAACAAAAAATCCTCCTATACAGAAACCTAATGAATGGGCAAGAAGATGGATTGAAAAAGCAAATATTTTCTACGAACATTTCACCAACGTGTTAATATCATATCTCTATGCAAAATTTTTTTTATTAAATTGGAAAGAAAATACAAACTAAGCTGAGTCACACCGGATCGGGCTTTCCGCACGTTCCTGGGTATATTTTTATATATTTTATATTCTGTAAATATACCAAAAACAGATAATACAAACATGCCAACATTTGCAGACCATACAACAATCATAACATCATACAAAAGCTTCATAATTGCAACTAGACACTGAAACTCGTCAGGTAGGCGATCGTGCACTTAACACAAATAACAAACAAAACTTCTATTTCCTGCTGGCATGATAGGGGTGACTTTTTCTTTCTATTCTCCTCAAAAGCACCACATTTATTCTGCTCTTCTAAGAAGCCTACTACCGTCTTTCTTGACGGCTAAATCCCATCTCTCCCGGAACCCAAAACCGTTTTCACTAACGGTTGAATCTCGACTCTCCTCATGAAACGATTTTATGGAGGAGCGTAGTTTTTATATTTTGCAATGTTACACTACCTTCAACAAGAATTTAATACGGTTAAGAAATGATTTATGAAATGGCTAATTGGTATAAACCAGTCTAAATCGATGCACCTTCACGAGACTCATCATGGTAGAAGAAAAAAAAAAGAAATAAAGATCTTTTATTGATTGCGTGATTGATTCCCTAGAAAATATTAGTCCGGGATATAGTTCGAATCCTTAAAAAAAAACTACTAAAACTTATAGAAGTAATACATGTTCCATTATCTGAATTCTGGGTAATTACAAAAAAATAATTTCAATTCAATGCCTAAAAACATTATTTTAGCATTTTATACTACCTACATGTATCAACAAAGTTTCTATCATCACTATATAGCAGGGGCAGTCAACAAGTCGAAAGCGACACTTTTTTTAAGATAAAATGTAGATCTTATGTACACAAAAGTTGGCCACCCCTGCTATATAACATCAATGAAAAGTCTTGATCATGTAGTTTTTAGCACTTTCAACCATATAACCAGATATAAAAAAAAAATGTCTTCACAGAAATAAGCCCAAATATTTTGCTAAAATAGGTCAAATATTAATAACACTATGGATTAGATTATTGTTTCATTTATTTCATGTAAATCAATAAAAAAAAATAATATTGCAAAAACGGAAAATTTAGACGATATAGCAGTTGTGTCTGTAAATGAAAAAGCTAGAAATGGTACTTTATAAAATATTTGATATTCGTATATTTTTTTTTCTTATGTTTATGAATTTTTTCATGTCGTAATTTTATTAACAATATTTTTTAATGTGAACAGTAAGTAAATTTAAACACGAGTCACATTATTTAGATAAACTCGATGGATGTTATTATGGTTTTGAAAATTAATAATAATTTACTTAAATTGATATACTAAATCTAGTGGTCTATAATGCTTGAGTCAATCAGGTTAATAGCCAGAATGTTAGTATTTGCTATTAAACATTGGTATAATATTGTATTCTCAACCAGATTTTTTTTTATCTATTCTTCAGATATGCTATTATTATTTAATAATAATTCTATAACAATTTCTTTGTTGACTATACTTTTTTGAATGCTTACTATATGTCTAAAAAAGCAGCCGAACAGTATCTTTTTTATTCTTGGTCTAATTGTATATGAATAAAAAAAAATCTAATTTAGTTGATTGTTTATTTATACATATAGATAATTGGATTTACAAGTAATACTGCATTCATTTAAATAAAGCATTTTAATTGAGTGAGGTTTTTGGATAAATTATATTTCTAAATAATAAATAATATGATAGTTACACATTATATTTATATATAATTATCAATTTTAACTTATACTATCTCTACATAATCTAAAAAATATAACAAATCTCAAATACATTGACAATGGAAACAGTAGAGAAATCTAATACGAAAAATAGGGGCCCAT